AAGCTTGCCACCATGAATTCAGAGTGTGGATACAATGACTTGCCCTAACAGCCCCTTTTTCTGTTAATACATACCTAGACCTCTGACAAAAGAGGGAGAGGTGGATAAAGTAGCCATGGATAAAGGTGGATAAAGGACCCATGTTCAGGAATCCTAGCAGGCTGCATCTGTCACTAGCTCATTTCAGATTGGTCATCTGGATACATAGGTTTGCAGTATCAGTTTATTACAAAAGCACTAATTTAATTCCATCATTTAGTCTTTGGAATCACAAGCATCTCCAGAATAATCACCATTTTTTCTCCCTGTGGGTAAAAACACCGAAGCCTGTTTGAATCAGATCTCAAAGTGTTACTTAGTCTCACCAGCTCATATTCAGAAATGAAATCCACACAGCTGCTGAGTGCAGCTGCCCAGGGGGATGTGACAACATTTGCTTTATGGTAAGAGGTCATGACTGCTGCTATCAACAGTTCTAGGACACGTTGGCAGGAGCCTCTCTTGCTACTGAAGAAGTTAAGAACTGAATGTTGTATCTAAAACCTGTTTTTACTTAACTAAAAATTGAGTTTGGTTTCACCGCTTTTCCTACATTTCTGCTGAGATTAAACTCTTTCCCTGATACCAAATCCTACTTTAAACTTCAGCTTCATGTTGTTATTTGGAAACCCTAGGACAGGCAATCAAAAAGCTATGTGACAGAAGCAGAATAGCAACCAAAACATCATCGATAGGATGAACTCAAGATAATTTTTTCCTAAATTTAGCTTGTTAAAGTTAACATAACTAAGAGTAAGCAACAATATATACTGATGGCCTAACTTTGATTCCACACCTCTTATGACAGCAGTGACTAGGGACACTGAATGAAGAATACACTCAGACACAAGGTAAAAGAACCTTGATTTGTTCTGACACTGCCTGCAGAATGAGCAATAAATCAATGGACATTGAGTTATCCACTATTTCAGCGATTTAACATGAGGGAAATGAGAAACGAATAGTGAATAAATAAGTAAAAAATACAAGAGAAAGGAAGGAGTAGAGATGAGATTTTTTTTTTTCTTCCCAATAAAGCCAGCTAATATTGAAGCTAAAAGATATTTTTTTCTATTAACTGGAAAAGAACTAAGAATATATTCCCTTACAAAGCTGAATGCATTATATTCCAAAATGGAGAAGTAATACAAAAACAGGTTTCTAAACCTAAATGTAAAGTTAAACCTCTACTCTTTACAATTATTTCCTACTTTCAGAAGGAGAGTTTATCACCTTTCATAAGATTTGTCAGCTGGACATTGGCAACGTGTCTTTAAAATGCCAGCTACATTTCCAGATGCATAAAATGACAGCAGAGCATACAAGATATCCCTACCTCCATATACAGCATGTATAAATGACTTCTAATTTTTCATTTCCCAAGAAAAGCTTAAAATACAATGAAGAATGTTGGAACGTTTTGATTCTCACTATTTACCTGATAAAATGGGAAAGCTTTTTAAAATGAGTAATTAGGGAGTCTTGTGGTAAGGCCTGTGGCAAATGCAGCCAAAGTATTTCCAAGGGTACTGGGTCTGGGTGTTTTTTTCATAGCAGCCTGTACGGCACTGTGTTTTAGATCTATGCCTAAAACAGTGTTGATGCCACACCAGTATTTTATCTACTGCTGCAGCGTTTGCACAGCATAAGGCCGCCTCTGTCACTTTGCCTCCCCAGCAAATAGGCTGGGGGTGTGCAAGACACTGGGAGGGGACACAGCTGGGACATCACTTCGTTTTGTTTTGCTTGGAAGAGCTATGATAAAAGCACTGGCCTCGAGCTTAATCTGGTATTTGGGCCCTCCATTACTGCAGTCCCTTTGTGGGGGTACCTGTTCCAGGTCCCCGCCTTATGCACGGGCCACAGTTCCCGTCACGAAATACAGAACTGTGCTGGTGTGGGGTCCTCCACAGGCTACAGTGTGGCACCACATGCGGACCACCATCTTTAGAGTGAGGGTCTACAGTAGATGGAATTGAGTCACAGAGAAGAACAACTTCACTTTGGATTGTAGTAAAGTTTCTGTGCATCCTAGCTAAACATGCCAATCAAAAAATGTACACTTGTAATAATCATCAAAAAGGTGTAAAGCAATCAGAGAGAAAGTTATCCAGTCAGGGTTTATTTGAATCTTTACCTTACTACACAAATTATTTTGTAATTGTGTAGTATTGTACACAAATTGAAGATTCTGAAGAGAGGTTTTCTAAGAACAGAGCTATTACTGTCATATCCGGTTAAACACTTGAGGAGGATTCTCAAAAACTAAAATTCCAGTAAATTGTAAATCCCAGTATGTTTTTCCTTTAACCCAGTCATGCATCGACGAACATTTGTGAACTAAATGATCTTCATAAAACTGTATTTAAAAATACATTTTGCTACAATTCTAATTTATAATTTGGGTCCTGAAGTTTACTACTATAGTCAGGTTAGCACAACATTTCATACAAATAGACAGGCCAACAACTAAAGTTTGTGAAGATTTGTCTTTTACCAGGGGCACCTCAAACGTTCCCTCATGATCCCTTCTCACTGAGGATTTCTGCACACTCATAGCAAATCTTCGATGCCAGGTTGCTACAGTATTGGGCCTGGTGCTGACATGTACAATGTCCACACTTATGGGACAAGGGAGTAACACTCACAGTCACAGGCTACAAATTTCTCACGGGGATGGATCCCACTGTCCCTAGTTGGAAAGTCATCCCTGCTTCTACCTAACAGACAGCAAACCCATAGTTAAAATATCTGCAGATGACAGTCCTGCCAGTATCGTAGCAGGATTCATGACCTTATTTTTCCAGAGTTCTGCTTTTCTAAACTGGAAATATATCCATATCTGGCATAATAGAAAACCCTAAATAAACCACGAGGAGTGCATTTAACAATTAAAAAAAAAGCAAATACACAATACATTCATACACTTTCTTCTAATTACACTAAATTTCTAGGACACGGATTGGTTCTTTGGGAAACGTTAAAATATTCAGCACTTCAACACTACAGAATCTGCTTTGGTCACCATAATGCATTACCTGGTAAATTAGTCTTCATAATATCAATGCCAACCTGAAGCTCAGGCTCAGCTGCAAGAACTGCATAATCTCCCTGATGAGAGACATTGAAGTTGTAATTCGAATAGATACTGAATACGTTATTTGCCAGGAAAGGTTTTCCTTTTGATGTCCTTTGCAAGTGTATTTCATTCCAAGGTATGCACAACTTTTCTGCAATTAATTTCCGTATCAGCAGGCGACCAGCCTATGAAATAAAATGGAAGTGATTCATACAGAACTATTATGCTATGTGCAAAATATCTGTGGTTGCTAGAAAATCACCTACCTAAAAAAATGTGTTTGTTATTGCCAATAGAAAGTAAGAGTATATTTTAGCCAAATCATTTAGATTTCTCCTTTTTATAAAAGCCTATGTCAAGTAAATTTAACCAAAAGAGTTCACCAGGCCCAAGTATAAAATACATTTGATATCACTATTAGCATAAAGACAACACAAGACCCAAAAAAAGCAGTCCCAGCCTAGAAGAATCACATGAAATAGTTCCTTCTCTACCTTATTTACTTACTCAGGATACTTTATTGCACAGATGAATACTTTTTATACCACACCGAACAGTAAAACTGTCTCAACAGCTTTCCTTTCAGTACATTCATGCGGTTACTTAGTCACTAAATGAAATACTGAACAGCTAAAAATGATGACTAACTTCTTACAGACTAATTCGCAGAAGTCTGTATTACTAATACATTGTTATGTGAGAATTAAAACCTGAATTATGTAAAACAGCTTTATTCTCTTACCCATTACACTACTGTCTTCATGTATAGTCTCCTCGAGTACGTTGATTTTGTCTCCTAATTTGACATCACAACATAAAGTTTGTGAAGTCTTTCAGAATAACTACTAATAGCAGACTTCAAACATCCCTTTCTCCTCCTAAGTGAAGGTGTAAGCAGAGCTGGCAATTAATACTTTATAACGTATTTACTTTCCTGAAACGCCCTTGCAGGGCATATTTTCCTACGAGAAGTCAGAAATTTGGGCAATACTGAATCTGCAGAGAGACAATCGCGTCCCCATGGGAAAGGGCCGGCCCCGGGGCCACGCGTGGCGCCAGAGGGGGCTCCTCGGCGGAGCGGCCTCCGCCCGCGCCCTGAGGAGCCCTCGGTAGCCTCCACCACGGCCCCGCGGAGGGGCAGGGCCCCGCCGGCGACACCCGTACCCGCCGCAGCAGCGGGGAGGGACGGGACGGAGGGCGCCGGGCAACGCGGTCCTTTGAGTCCCGCCCATGGGCTAACGCCGCCAGCCCTGAGGGAGGTGAAGCTGCCCCCCGCCGTGCCCCACCCCCCGCCAGCCTG